AAATAGAAACTATAGATAAATTAAATTGGAAAAAAAAAATAGAAGCCTACAACTCCATCTTAAATAAATTGATAAAAAAAAATTAAAAAATAAAAAAAATAAAAAAAAGGATAAAAATTTAGATATGGACCTCAAAAAAATATAACAATATCTAAATTTGAATTATGATTTACTAATATAATTATCTATTTTTCTTATGTATATCTATCAAAATTTTAAATCACTTAATGGGACAAATTAATCAATTTTTAATACTTATTTAAAGAAAATTTGATTAGTCATCCGAACTTCTAAACTTCGTGGGCACTGGCGAATGAACTAACGGATTGGGTTAGGTAAGGTCTAAGTTGTTGGAGGTAACATTCTCTCATTCCATAAATTTATTTGTTTTTTAATTTTATTTTTTTCCACGTGTGATTCTCTTTCTGTGCTGTTGGTTTGGTTTTGGTTTTGGTTTTGGTTTTGGTTTGGTTTGGTTTCGGTTTGGGTTTTAGTGAGGGTTATGTGTTTGTTTACAGATTTGCATGGTGGAGAATAATTATTGGTGATTATGGTTGCAATCAAAGTATCTATGTCTGTTATGTGTCAAAGATTTTGATCGAATTTTGTTTTCTTCAATGAAAACCATAAAATTGAAGTTAAAAAATGGGTACCAAATTTTTTTCTTTTATTGACATTTTATTTTGTAGAAAATATGAAAAATTATTGAGAATTCAAGATTTTACTATAACATTAGGTAAATTTAAAACTTTTAAATATCATTGTGTTATTTATTTTTATCCTCTTTCTATCCCATTATACAATAGCAGGTAGTTGTTAGTTTGTTAATTATGATTCAAGTAATTGAAAATAAAAGCTTAATATAACTTTTCATATATATTATAGTTAATTTGTTACAGCTATATTTGTATATAATAGCATAATACATAAGGATAATCTCAAAATATAATTTATATTTTTTTATGTGATTAAATAGTCCATCTTAAATAGTATATAAAAGAGTTAGATGGATTCTTTTATCTCTAAAACACCCAATCTATTTTTTTTTTTTTACTTTTTAATTTTTAAATTGAAACATCAATTGTTTATATCCATAAAACAAAACTGATAAACACATATCCAAAAGTTACACTTTTTTATTTTTTTAATATGTAGGATATTTACAAATGGAAAATATTTGACACCTCAAAGTTTTTCCATAATCTGACTTATAATGACGTAGTCATAAGTGTCAATTTTTATACAAATATGAGAAGAGAATTAATTAAATTATATATTTCAACCAACCACAAACTTAAACTTTGAATATTTTTAAAGATTTTATTTCACTATAATTCCAATTAAGAGAATCTTCAATCCTTAATATTTTATTTTATCAAATTATAATTTGATAAAAATTTAAAAAGATGAAATGTTGGAAATTATTTTTTTCTTCAAAATTGGTGAAAAGAAAAAAAAAATTGGGATAAGAATGAAATTCTTTTAAAAATTGATAAAAATTTAATGAAATAGTTAAAGTAATTCATATAAAATCAAAAAAATTATTCAAATTTAAAATCAAATTAGATACATAAAAAATTAAAAGAAAATGATGAAAATTTGAAAATATTTTGAAACCTTCATATTATTAAAGACTAAAAATTCTTGTGTGTATTATATTCATATTATATTTTCAGTAATGAAATTGAAATCAAAAGAAATGTAACTTAAATTATTGGATTAATAATAAAAATATCATTTTAATTATTGTTAAATATCACATCACTTCACATTTAATAATAAAATTGTATATTTGTCTTAATCATAACTTTTAAATTTGTATATTTTCATAACAAAAAGAGGTATGTCATAACTCATTTAGGCCAAGTTTGGGAAGACTAAATAAGTGTACTTTTTATCTTTTTGGACTAAAAAATTGAGGTTAAAAATATGGATGTTTGGGTTAACTTTTTGACTTTTTATAGAAAAATGAGTAATAAAAAATTGTAAACATTGATTTGTAAGAAAAAATTCAAATTGAGAGTTATGCAGTCGTAATTATTGACTTTTAGTGAATAATAACTTTTGGTGAATAGTGTTAACTTTTTAACTTTTTGAGTAACTTTTTGACTTTTTGGCTTTTTTGGAACATCCCAAACTTGGCCTTAATCCCATTTAATCAAATTTAACTTTTTTTTAATACAAATTATCAAAATTGCACTAATTAGACTCATATATACATTTTTTTAAAAAAATTTAAACTAATAATTTAAAAAGTTATAAACATAAAAATTATGGGCAAATTACATATACCTCCCTTGAGGTTTGGCTAAATTACAGATACCCCCTGAGGTTTCGGAAATTACATCCCGCCCCCTAAGGTTTGTATTTTCATAACAATTTGCCTCCTGAGGTTTAAATTTCATAACAAATTAACCCCTAATTTGTTATGCAAATATAGCACTCAGGGAAAATTTGTAATTTCTCAAACCTCATGGGATATTTGTAATTTGGCCAAACCTCGAGGGGGTATATGTAATTTGCCCAAAAATTAACTTATAAATTTTATGTATACCACAAGACAAAATATTAAATTATTTTAAAAAAATTATAATATGTTTTTTTAATTTACAAAATCTCGTGCATAACACGGATTCCTACTAGTATATAATATCATAAAAGGTTACTTGGTTATTTTCAAATAAAAAAAAGTATATAGACCAAATCAAAAGGGGTAAAATGTGCCCTTTATTTTTTTGACATTTTCCTTCCTTTATTAACATCTCATTAGACTATCATTAGCATGATTTTTATTATTAAAAAAATACTTTACAAACAAATTTAGGTATTTTTCTTACTAAGTGATATGCTATGTAATAATAAAAATTTAAAAACTAAAAGACGCACCTTGATGATACCATAGGTGTAACGCCATGGTTTGGGATTTGGCTATTTTGATAATTTTTTTGATTTTTTTAAGAGGTGAAAAAAAAAAACTATACGTTTGAGAATGACTTTTTTAGTTATATATGAAAAATAAAAAAACGACGGATGACTAAAATATATAACTTTAAGTTTTTCAATAATTTGTTAAAATATATAACTTTAAGTTTTTCAATAATTTGTTAACTTTTCCAGTATTTTTTTGATTTTTTTACAGCCTTACCACACCCAGACAACATAAGAATGACTATCCTACGCAACATATTCATAAAAGGGGATCAGATGAGCTTTGAGCTAACTGAGGAAGACTTGGAGGCCTCTAAGCTCTATCCAGACTACAATTATACTTCTATGGATGAGTTTCTTGACATTTATTTGGTTAATCCTCCCAAACCCAAATTCACTTCATTTTAATCTTGGTGCCGCAACTTAATAATTATTAGTTCGTGTAGTGAGATCTATCACTCTCTGTTTTAAAATATAGCATAAGATGTGTCCATTAATAATAAGTGTGGAATATTGTTACAGGAACACCTAATAATTTTTCTATTAATATTTTGCATTAATTATTTTCATCAATTATATATATGGAATAAGGTTCAATTATTGTGTGATGAGCACTCTATTTGTGGGCATTGTCATTCTAATCTAATTAAGGCACTAGCATAAATTAATGCCTGGAAATTCCTGTAAGTATGAAAATTTGTATACAAACTTAATTTTTAAGCAAATTACACTAATTGTCTCTATAATTTGGGACTCGTGTCACATTAATCCTTAACTTTTCAATTGTGACACATTTTATCCTAAATTTTGAATCTTGTTTCAAATAAGGACAATTAAAGATACCATTGCTTAATTTCAAGGTAAAATGGTTAATTTGATAAAATATAAACTAATTTGACAAAAATAAATGTCAAAAAATATCTTTAAAATTTTTAAAATTATTTCTACACTCCAAGGATGAAATTATGTAAAATTGGTAAATCTTTTAGATATTTATTTATTTATTTATTTATTTTATCAAATTAATTTTTATTATGTTTAGATGATGATTATGTAATGGGTAGTTGTTAAACTTTTAATGTGTAAATGATACATTTAATATATGAAATATTTTTAGTTTTGGATTTTTTTTATTTAATGGATTAGTTTAATAATGATATCAAAGTTGTTGCCATATTTGAATTTTGGAAAAATTAAAACTAATTTAATGAAAACAAAACCAACCACCCATTACATGATTATCATCCAAACACAATAAAAATTAATTTGGTAAAATAAATAAATAAATAAATGTCAAAAAAATTTATTAATTTTACATAATTTTATCTTTAGTGTGTAGAAATTATTTTTAAAAATTCCAAAACATTTTTTTGGCATTTATTTTTGTCAAGTTAATTATATTTTATCAAATTGATGGTTTTGCCCTTAAAAAATCAAATGGTATCTTCAATTATCCTTATTTTGAACAAAATTCAAAATTCAGGGTTATATGTGTCACAATTAAAAAGTTAGGGACCAAAATGACACAAGCTCCAAACTATAGAGACCGTTAGCGCGATTCACCCTAATTTCTAGAAGCATTTTTCGGTCATTTATGTGACGTGCATTAATGATTTAGAATCTGAAACATGATTCATTACAATAATGTGGTAGGTGCCACATCAACCGAGTAATACATGTTTATAAAATTTTCGAAAATTTGAACGACCTGAAATGGGCTTGCAAAGAACTTAACTAGATTTTTTACATGGGTAATCAATTTTCTTTTCTTTTTTGTCCTAGGTTCCCAAACAGTGTTCTAGAGCAAATGGGGTTGACCGTCGTAGTAATGTTATGTAGGGATGAGAATATCACCCCCCAAATCCCACTGTCGGCGAATTAAGCATTACAACCGACTAGTAACCAATCCTCTTCGCTATCAAACACCAATCAAAATAGTCAAGCGAACGTATTAATTAATGATATGACTAAAATTCAATAATAATGATAACATAAGTATACACAAATATAGACTCCAGGGTCGAAGTGTAGTCAAACTATTGAGCCTGAGCCCAAGTACAACCCATCCCAAATATAGCATAATCTTTCATATATATGAGGATCAATATACCTACATCAAAAGGCCACTCCATACAAACATGTGTATAAATGCATAAGCATATCTCATGAATGGAGTCTCAAATTCATGAATAACAAGATGTCTTGAGTAAGAAAATTTTGCAAGAAAAGTATTGAAAAATGCATTTTCTCATCACAGAAAGTCCCTATGAAACTGTTAGATTTACAACATTTGGTGACACAGATTTCCTATCTAAATTCTCCAAACTTGTGAGCTCCTACATGCTATTTCATGTGATCTCTTTGGTCAACAGAAAATGAAGATGATGGGAATTGATACCAACATTTGAACTAAAATTTTAGAAGAGAGCACTCCAGATAGCAGCAGCATCTTCCCCACACCTCTCGTGAACAAGCTTGATTCTTTCCACTGATTTGCATATTCCGCTGCAGCTCCAATCAAACGAAGCTATGCAAACATTTCCCGCTTGCGCCTTCCACTCGCAATCTGGAAAGGCATTCAAAATTCTTAAGAATCCATCTATGAAGTTCTAAAGACTCAATACTATGAAAGGTATCTCAAAGAAAGGCATACCAGGTGGAGTCCCACAACACATGTTCCGATCATCTATGTGCTCAACTTCAAGACCAATAAACCAGGCACCAAGTGACACGTCTTCATTTGCATACTTGTGTAATATTGGCCTTCACATTCAGAATTACCAAAACACTAGCATTAGTGGGATTGAATATGCTATTAATAGTGAAGTGTGGGTTTTTTTTTTTGGCTAGTCATAAATCATAGTTAAAAGGGTTGTGTGCCCTGTTAAACTATAGCCACTCTTTTCTTCTGACAAACTTTGGGGGGGGGGGGGGGGGGGAAGAAGCCCTAAAATAATGAAATATCTGATCAGAATGTAACAATTTAATGTTCTCTTCTCAATAAATGAACATTTTCTATGATCAAAATAACATGATAATGCTTGTTATAAGAGTGTCGCTACTTCAGCATTATAATTCTTACTGGTTGATAGAGATATAAGATGCCAGATCCCTTGAGATAGCATAAATCTGCCCAGTTGCATGCCGAAAGTATTTGTTCCCCTCCTCACCAAATTTCCAATATTCGGGTTCATGATACTTGACATTCCTATGGAGGAAACAAGTAGTTGGAAATAAGAAAGTCGAAAAGGTGGTTCAGTTCATGAATGAAAATATTGGATACTTGTCGATTTTGTATTAGATACTTCCTAAACATATCCAGAATTTGAAATTAATTTTCTTTAATTTTGAGAAGTATTAGATATGTTTCGGATATTCTAGGTCACATATCCGAACAATTATGAAATTTAGATTGTGATACACCTTGCATAGCATTAGAGTATAATTGTTAGGGTAAATACAAGAATAGTTTTCAACACTTTGCTTAGTTCTTAGAGAAGAAGAAAATAGTGATATTAAGGCTTCGTTTGGGAAGTTGCTATTTTAGTAGGCTATTTTAGTTTTTGGCTATTTTAGTAGGCTAAAATTTTTGTGTTTGGGAAGATGATTGGATTTTTTTGTAGTTGGATGTGATATTTGTGAGAGAAAAAGTGAAATGATTATGGGTTTGATGTGATATTTTGTCTTATTAGCTATTTTAGCCTATTTTGTCTTTTTGTGAATTTTAGCCTAAACTATGCTATTTTTTTTCTTGCCAAACACCCCCTAAAGTAGTTCCCTACTTTTTTTCATAATTTATCAAATTGATGTATCTAATATCTTATGCATGTGTCCCGTATCCGTATCTATACTTCACAGAAAGGGAAAACCATAGCATTCACACTTTTGCATATCAAGTGTGAAAGGGAAAAGCACATGGGCAATATAAGCAGTTTAGACTTGATATTGCAAATGAAATTTTTATAGGACCTACTGAAAAATTAAAAAGTAAACTGACCACTAACTCTTCAATTAATACATAATTTCTAAATAATTGTTTCATACCATTTTTTGAGCTTATGTATAATACAATAATAAAATCTGTAAAAATTTCTTAAACTAACGTATCCTAGCCTCACCCATATCCTACTTTTTGAGGTTTTGTCATATCGCTATATCCGTATCATATTGTATCCATATCCGTGCTTTATAAATACTATATAATGTGGAAAAATAAAATAATAAATAAATAAATAAAGTTTAAGAATATACTTCTGAGAAAGAACTGGTCCAGATTTCATACATCCTATATATACCCTTGGCTTTGTACGGTGGCGGGCAAGAGTTGCAGCTAGCATGCCTGCATTAACAAAAAAAGTAGAAAGTTTCAGTTTCCTGTGATTCAATAGAATGAGGCCAAAACTAGAGCTATAGCAAAGTCTTAACTCAACCTACCCAATACCTGACCATTTTCCAGATTCAGACACTAAATAAAATACACATGCATACACATACACATACATACATATATAAATGTATATACAAGTCAGATAATAGCTAGAAATTAAAGATAACTCGTGAGGGCAAAATTTATAAATAAATAAAAATAAAATAAAAATAAAAAAGAGTGAGGGGGGGGGGAGCACAAACCCAAATTGACATGAACATCATCATCCACCTTTACATAGAATTCAGCATCCCATTTTGCAATTGCTGTGGAAAAGAAGGTTTTTGTCTTTGCTGATAGTTCATGATACCCTTCAACATGCTCCTGTAACAATAACATAACATTGTTCACCATCCGTCCTAGAAACATACATTTCATGTTGACAAAAAAAAATCAAGCTTTCCTTACAAGCCTAAGAAAATCTTTATGTTGAGCATCCTCTGAGTCAATTGCTCGATCTAGAATGCTGTTGGATGTTGCGCTGCATTGATCAGTACAAAAAGAAAGTGAAGGCCATATATTATTATGTATGAACCAGAGCAATCTTGCGTTGATTCACTCTCTGTAGAAAACAAGAACACAACTGCTATTTTTTTCAAGGCATAGAAGTGTAATTAAGGTACAGAGATTCAAGAATTGCTCATATGAAAATTTGATTTCAAAATTGTTATATTGTATTTTTAAAAAAAAGCAGACATCATGTCAAATATCAACAATCTAAGCAATTTAATCAAGCACATGTGGCCTCATTTTTGGGTGCTTTCTTCTGATTTCCAATGGGACTACCTTACCAAGAGGAGATAAGGACATGGTGCATGTGGAATGTTTCATTGCCTAGGTGGACCAATTTAGAGGAGAGCTCGTGACAAAGACAGTGAGGGTGACCTCATTATCCACTTTCCATTTCCATTTTGGTTTCAACAACTGGCATCTTCTACAGCCGCTAGATAGATGGAGAAAAGTAGCCAATGATTCAGTTTGTCACGTGCTGTAACAGTTAAGTGTTATTACAGATAATGGTACATCGAGATGGCCCTCTGCAAATGCAATTCAGCTTACGGAAATGAGGAATTAAGTGCTATTCACATTTCAACTAAATTTTCTACAAAAGATAGGCTCAAGTGGGCTGCATCCTTTTAAAGGTAAGATCACTGTTGCTTCGGCTTTGAAACTTGTGAGAAGCAGATCATCTTGAGTTAGCTGGGCTCAATTGTTATGGCATTCCAAGGCAATTTCAAGGACTACTTTTATTCTCTAGCTAGCGACTAAGGAAAACTTGACTAGTCAGGACCGCCCCCAATGGTTTGTTGCTATTTCTTCGATAAACTGCTACTTCTGCAAACTTCCTGTCAACAACCATAACCATTTATCGTATCCTATATCTTTACTTGTGACATTTGGAATGACAAAATGGAAAGTAGTGCTTTTGTTCCAGCGGTTGCTCACTGGAAGAGCCTAGTTCATTGTGTGTCACAGAGTTTAGCAAGAAAAAGGCATGTTAGGTTGTGTACTAAAATCATCTTACAGTGTTTGCTTATCACTTATGGCAGGAACATCATGATAGCGCTTTTTTGTAATTAATATAGGGATGTAACAGAGCTTTATTGGCTTGTACAATCTAATTTGCGCTTTCCTGTTTATATTTTGGAAAGCAGACTGAAATTGATTGCTTTCTTTTTTATTTTTTAGGAGGTATACCTCCTTGTATTGTGCTGTAATTTGTTTTATCAATAAAAATTATTTATTTACTAGAAACAAAAGGACAACATCACACATACATACATAAACCCAGAGTATATCGAAGCAGTGATTTACCTGTGACCAAGCATAAAGCGGATGACAATCCCCTTTTCTTGCTCTAGTTGGAGTAACTTGTCACCTAATCTAACACAATATGGTTAGCACCGGTGTCTGCAGTAAAGAAACTCACAGCATATGGAAGCAAAATCTAAAAAGGAAACAAAAAATAGCGAGAGTAATACCTTGAGGCATCCAGGTTTCTCTAATTGAATCACGCCTCTTTCTGCTACTGAAAGCAGTGTTTATTCCAATAACCATAAATGTTTTTCTCTTTGGCAGACTATTATGAGACGATGTCCTCACATCAGGTAAATTGTCAGGATTCTCCATCTCACCATGGAAACCCCGAGTGGCACCGACCTCCATTCGAAGTTTAGATATCGTATTGTGCAATGATCTGATATCCCCCAAATAATTCATCATAGAAACCATATTGTTATTTAACTCAATTAAAGAAAACAAAAGGTAGTAAGTGAAGAGAAAAACAAGGAAACATAGAATGGTATTTGAATTAATTGTCCCATGGAAATGTATGCTGGTAAGCTCCTTTTTCTCTCTTTTTTTTTTTTTTCATCTTCTTTTTCCATGGAAAGCAAGTGCAGCTTTTTGCAGGATTCGAAATGTATCCAGCATGTTTTTGAAACTTTTTCTTGTTAGCATTTGTGAAAAACAAGGTAATGTCATGAATTCAATGAACCAACTTGCTTTTGTTGCAAATAAAGATAAAAGACTATGTGTGGATATCTCTGACACATTCAGGTGTTGTGCACACGTCGATGATGGCATGTACTTTACACGTCAGATTGGGAACTTCCGTGTAAGCCTTTAAGAAGGATACCTGCCTATATAGTATACTAGGAAGACTAGAGAAAATGTGCCCAAGTCCTAAAAAGGAGTTCTTACTGAACGTGCATGAGTTATTGCAAGCTGGTTAAACCACATGACTCAAGTAGTCTTACTTGACTTCAGTACCAAGGTGGGTAAATCCATGTGGCCTTCATCTTTGAGGTAACCACGCCACACCGATTTAATTAACTACATCAAGAGGCAGGACTTAGGCAACATGGGTGTGATACCCCTGTTCCGTAATATGCTAAATTGGTCCTTAATTTGAATATGATTATGTGTTCAGCATGACTTTATGTGTCATTATGTGATTTTGCAATTCTATCTGTTCACTGTAGGAATATCTGTTTGAGTAAACTACTTTGGGAATTAAATTGAGGGCCCTATCGGCCACAGAACCCGAAATTGATCGCGCCATTGTGATTGGCGTAATTTTTAGAGCCTACGGTGGAATTTAATTGAAAATTGATTTGGGTCAGATTAAATCGATTAAATTGATAAATTAAGTGCCCCAAATATTTTATAATGAAATAATGTGTTGAGTGGGGCTAAATAGGGGCCTTATTATGATCAATTCCTCACCCTTATATCATTTTAGCTGAAGTTTAACTCTCTAGAAAAGAGAGAGACGACTTTGAGAGAGAGGGGAGGCACCTTTGGGCATTTTGATTCAAAATTGTGAATTGGGAAGGCTAGGTGCAAGACTTGGCCATAATTGTGAAGATTGAGCCCCTAGGTAAGCATTGATTCTTGAATTCATGAGTTTAATGTGTAATCTTGTGTGTTCAAGGGTTGTTTGTGATCAAGAGCATGATTTGAGATCATTTTGTTGAAATTGAGGCTTGATATGTGCATGCATGTAATGAACTCCCATGGAATCACAAATCTAGCATGTAATTTGTGAAATTATGAAAGATTGGTAGTGTAACCCCACATGCAAGCAGGTCTTTGTTAAATTTTATGGGAATGAGTACTAATTACATTATTTGAAGTGAATATGAAGTCAAGAGGGCATGCATGTAGAAATCTTGGGAGTATAAGTCTTGAATGTTTGAATTTGAGCATGTTGGTGATGAGGTTGTGATATTTTGGGACATGCATGCAAATAAATTATGAAATTGAGCTTCAATATGTTGTAATTCTATGTTTGTACCATGTTAGTACATGATTATGTGAAGTTTGGACCGAAATCATACATTTAGAGCCTTTGAATATCGAGATGAAGCTCAAGAACTCAATTTGGAAAACCCAGATTTTCGATGTCCGCTCGAGCGGGTGAAGTGCCGCTCGAGCGGAGAAAACGAGCTCCCAGCATTTTTTTTTTTTTGCAGACATGGTTCCCGCTCGAGCGGGGGAATTTGACGCTCAAGCGGGAAGCTATGTAGACAGGCAGTACGCTCGAGCGGCCGAGTTCACGCTCGAGCTGGAATTGAAGGCAACCAGTACTTTTGCAGACCTAAGGGTCCGCTCGAGCGGGTAAGTCCACGCTCGAGCGGGGACCCTGTTTTCTGAAATCCTGTTTTTGCATTTTGTGTTCTGTTTTCCGTTCTCTTTCACTTGCAAGCACTCTTAGGCATATGTTAAGCATTGTAAATGAGTTAATGAGATAATAATAAAGCCTAAAGAGGAATATGTGAATTAAAGAACGGATTGAACTGTTAATGACCCTTTTGTGTTCATGAAACGTGTAGGGTCAAGCTCCAGGGCAAATCCACAAGCCGATCACTGTGAGTAATATCGATATTCGAATAATTGTGAATGTCCAGTTGTTTATTCCCTCATAAGCTTTATGAATTGCTGGAATTGCTGATTGGGATTGTGGGCAAAAGTCTGACATGAAAGTAATTGGACCTAAGGTCGTTTTGATAGAAATGAATGGACCAGAGGTCGTTTTGATAGAGATGAATGGACCAAAGGTCGTTTCGATATGAATAAATGGACCTAAGGTCATTCTGTCTGATAGAAATGAATGGACCTAAGGTCGTTTTGACGTAAACAAATGGACCAAAGGTCGTTCTGATAAACATAAATGGACCAAGGTCGTTCTGATAGAAATGAGTGGACCGAAGGTCGTTTTGACATGAATGAGTGGGCCGAAGGCCGTTTTGACAGAAATGAATGGACCGAAGGTCATTTTGATAGAAATGAGTGGACCAAAGGTCGTTTTGACATATATGAATGGACCTAAGGTCGTTTTGACATGAATGAGCGGGCCGAAGGCCGTTTTGACATGAATGTATGGGCCGAAGGCCGTTTTGACGTAAACGAATGGGCCGAAGGCCATTTTGATAGAAATGAATGGGCCGAAGGCCGTTTTGACGTAAATGAACGGGCCGAAGGCCGTTTTGACATGAATGGAAATCTGAATGGGCCAAAGGCCAGAATGTTTGGAACTACAGTCACTTGATTTGAATTTCGTATAGTTATATGCCCGTTAAATAGAAATAGGAATTGGGCCTAAGGCCGTTTGGAACATGTTGTTCTACATTGTTATGTAACTTCTGTATTTGATTTGATATTATTCACTGGGCTTTCGCTCACGCTCATTCATGTGTTTGTAGGTGAGCCAAGAGAGGTCCAGACCCAGTCTCAATGAAGTCTGTATGGAGCAACTAAGGTTTTAAGAGAGTCAGCCCTTGTGTCTCACGCACGAGACTCGTCTTCGCCCTTTTGTTATATATTTACATTTTGTCAGGTTGGCGAAGTTTTGAATATATCTGTATATAGTTTTCATGGGTTGACTTAGTTTGGATGATCCTGTCTGTATAGAATCTTATGTCATTACACTTTTTGTTGTGAGTTATTAACGTACATATGTATGGTTTGTTTTGATGTGCCATGTAAGCACAGCTCTATGGACAAAGTTTTAAATTTGGCTTCCCTTTGGCCCCTTTTACTCTGATGTGTTAAGTCTATTTTGGTTTGAGGCCGTAGGTAATCTTAGGATTACTGGCCGGTTACGTCCTTAACCCATGGGGGCGGGTTCGGGTCGTGACAATGGGACTTCGAGATTCTGTGGCTTGATGGCTAGAGACAAAGGTATCGCTCTGTGTGGCAAGCCGTAGGTGTCATTACCTTAGGCCAACCCTACCATACCAAGAGAGAAAACTATGCAACTTGACTAATTTACAAAGGCTTGGAGATAAAGGCAAATCCTAATGAACTAATAGGCTCTGATACATACATGAGCTGGCATATTCTAACTGAATTTCGGAATATCCGAGAAGTTTGTCACAGGTCATGTGACCCTCCCCACAACACAACTACAAAATCTAAAAATCCCCTAGATATTGATTTGTATCAGTTTTAACGAGTAAATAGCAATCCCAATCAAACAATCAAAGACAAATCAACACAACGATTTAACGTGAAAAACTACAATTGGAACGTCTCCAATTGTGATAAAAAACCACGGGCAAAAGCCACAAAACAATCCACTAAGAAGACATAAAGGAATTACACAAGTGTACTCTCAATTACCTAGGGAATCTATGCCCAAATCGAACCGAACCCTATGTGTCTCTTCTAGCCCCGTCTTCACTTCGGAATTGTCTTGCCCAACGTTGAATCCACAACGCCGATGTTGAATCACGACAATGAGCCACTTTGGAATCCACTAAAATTTCAGGCCCAAATTCCACGGAATCCACCAAAGAATAACACTCTATTTTGTATTAAACGAACAATCCTTTGATGTATACTTTTCAAATCAGATTTAAACACAAACAAACATCAAAGAAACTAACAAAGAAGCTCCAGATACAAACCCTAATATCCAAGAAGAAGATCTGGAAGTCGTAACCCTAAAATCTGACTGAAACACGTATTTATAGAAAATCGGGCCGCGAAGGTTGCTCGAGCGAAAGATCTCTCGCTCGAGCGAGGAGACTAAAACGCGTGCTTTTTCAAGTGTCTTCGCTCAAGCCACCAAAGTGTCACTCGAGCGAGAAATGCAACTTCTCAATATTTTTACAGTCAGTGAAAACTTTTGGGACCAAGGATTCTTTGCTCGAGCGCACACTCCGTCGCTCAAGCAACCAAACAACTTCAACTACAATTTTGCTTCTGGCTTCAAGGGTGCTGCCCCTCGACCCCACCTAGGCGCTACCCTGGACCCGCCAAGAGGCTCTGCCCCCTCGACCCCCACGAGCTAACCGGGCAGCTCAATCCCTAACATAGTCAGCGAAGTAGCAAACATAAAAGAATTAACTTCCGAAACATCTTTGCAAAGCACAATTCAGATTGGATTCGCATCTAAAAACTTATAGCCTCACTGAAATAAAAGTTGAACAAAATTACAACTGCATGGAGTTTTGTCAAACGGGACTACCAATAATAAAAATCTAACAACAACCCTAGAGAGGTCATCACTGCTAGTCAGTGTATTTGCTCACATCACGGTTTTCTGTCTCTCTCTACTGGGTTGTTCTGTCTCTCAGCTGGACATTTCCTTTGTCTCATGTTTCCCTAATGTGTGCTTCCACTCTCCAACGAACACAAAACCCTGGTCATCACTACCTAGACGATCTACAATTTCCATTAAAATTTTGAAACATAGCATAAAATAATGTCCAAATACCAGTGGAGGTGCAGACAAACAATAGCAAAGAGAATGAAGAGTGGGAATCCCATCAATTTGGAAGCCAAAATTTCAAATACTCACTGAATGGATTCTTGGGTTTTGTGAACCTCCCCCATTACATCCTTACCCTGTCCAAGCATCAACAATTATATTTGAAAACCCCCATTAAAAAGAGACATAAAGAATCAAAATCAACCATATAAAGAGTAAACATTTTTGAGGGGGAAACAAAAAGGACCTTCTGTGTGATAGAATCATCGGAAACAAATTGCAATTCTTGATCATGTCGAGGCCGTGAGATGGTCCGACCGTTGGATTCAGGAAGAGGAGCCCACAATCTACGACATCAACAACCAAATTCTCTTCAATATCTTAGCTCAGCTCAACCCAAAAAATAAAAAATAAAAAACTATATAAAAAGTAATGCAAATTTGGAAATAATTACTCGAATTGTAGCTAATCGTCTTTTTTTTCTTTTTTGTTCCTTTTGAATGAGGTGAAATTTCAATTGGGAAAACAAAAACAGTCCAAAAGAATCGAGAGAGAGAAGAGCAACCTGTTGGTGAAAAGGGTGCCGATGGCAAAGCTGAAGATGCAGAGGATGATAATCCATTGAGGGGAAACTTTTCCAGTGTTTCTATTCTTCATGGTTGTTTTCGATGCACCAACTACTCTTGTATCGTTTACCTGCATATATACGTGTTTGTGTGTATGATTCTAATTCTTATGCCTATGTTGTGTTGGGTGATTTGTGTGTCTAATCTATATGATTGTATATGTCTGTTCATACATTTTCATACCTCTCTCTGTATGAGGGAGGGAGAGAGAGAGAGAGAGAGTCTCAGAGTCCGCGGGGGTGCATTTAACATGATCCTCCTACGCGCCTGGTTTTTTCACCACCGTTGTCAATGCCATAAGTTTGATCAACTCCGATTGGCAGTTGTCGAATGGCTCGAAATCTCAAAACCACGTTGTTTTAGGTTTTTTTTTTGTATTCTCTTACCGGTAAGAGAATATTTTCAACCCAATCGACCCTTCACTTTTGAGTTACCAGCTATTTTCCAAGTTTGATATGCAGTAGAAAAAAAAAACACACACACAAATTTTTCTCAACAATTTTTTGTATTTTTTTATGAAATTATTTTTTATCTTTTATTGGTCTAGTTCAACCCCGAGCCTCTATACATACAAAACTCATTTATTTGGGAAGGAAACGGATTAAATTAAAAATATGATGTTATAGCCACACTAGTGATTAAAATAGCTAATTTTATTATTTTTATAGCGGGATATTTATATAAAAAATTAATGAGATATTTATTAATAAATTTTATCTCATAAACAAGTACTCCAATTAGTTTTAAATGTTTTCTATTGATCTGTTAAGCCTTATTAGTAGAGAGTTTCTTTCCGTGTAGTTCTATTTTTTTATTTTGGTAGTATTTTGGTGGACAATTATACATTTTTATTAATGTGACATGTATGATGAGATACTCTAATATGTCAGGTATTAATATAACACTCTAACGATGTGACACTCCAAAAAAATTAAAAACTCCTTAGTGTATTTTTTTTAAATGTGACAGGGTGGCGGGTATGATATGACACTCCAAAACTTTTATTCAAAAAAAAATAAAAACTCTTTAGTGTATTTTTTCCTAATATAATAACATGGTGGGTATGATGTGACACTTCAAAAAATAATAATCTGTAGTGTATTTTTTTCTAATGTGACAATATTGCGGGTATGATGTGACACTTAAAAAAATAAAAACTCCTTAGTGTATTTTTCTCAAACGTGATAACGTGACGAATATGATGTGAAACTCTAAAAATATTAAAAATTCCTTAGTGTATTTTTCTCAAACGTGACAATGTGGCAGATATGATGTAACACTCTAAAAAAAATTAAAAATTCCTCAACGTACTTTTCTCAAATGTGACATGTGACACTTCAACATAGCGGGTATAATGTGACACTCTAAAAAAATTTAAAACTCTTAAGTGTGCTTTTTCCAAATATGACACTTTAATGTGACGAGTATGATGTGACACTAAAAAGTTCTTTAGTGTACTTTTTTTCAAATGTGACTGCAATATGGTGACCAGATGAGTCATAACACGTCTAAAAGGACTAAATAGATCACAAGAAAAAATAAGACAATATGAATCACAAATCCAAAATATGAAACTTATTGGTCAACCTCCCATTTTAATTAGACAAAAATAATTAGATAATCAGGCTATATTATTTTTAAAATATAATAATTTATGGGAGTGGTTATTCCCACTCCATTTTGTTCCAAATATATTACATTATTTATCTTTATTATAATATAGTTACTATTCCTACTTTACTTTATTTCAAATGCATTGTCATCTATACCCAAAAAAAAAAATAATAACAATAATAAAAAAGAATGTATTTAAAACAAAATAGAATAAAAATAATAACTCCCTAATTTATTCTTAAATATATTTGCCTTTCATTTTCTCCATTTTCTTTCCCCAAAACATGGCCACCCCTGTCTTCTACATCCAATGCCCTCAAGCACATCTTGAGAACGATCTTTGACAATTCACAACTCCCACCACTACCAAAAAGACAGATATACAACCACCACCACCGTAGTAAACACTTACGAATGCCCGTAACAAAACCTAGCCTCAACCACCCTATTCACACACCCCCACAATTAATTCCCATTACCACACCCTCCAAGTTTTTCTGATAATTAGGTATATGGATAGTTTGTACGTATTTCGACTAATCTCAAAATCCTAAAATTAATGATCAAACAAACTTTCAATAGCTTATTGAATGACTCAAATTTCAAACCTTAAATATTATCCTCAAGTATTTACTGCCCAACCAAATTTTCGTTACTCAAATCCTCATCATCTACATTCACTCGCTCAATCTCCACAATCTCCTTCTCCAATTTCACCACACTGACAAAACCCTTCCACTACAAAATCCACATCGATTCTTGCATTCGCCTCCACCTCCAAGGTTTGGTGTTCTAAGATACAAGAATATTTTGTTACAGACTTTGACAGCTAACTAGTGAAGACCAACTGAAGCAATAATAAAGAGATGCAATACAATGACGATAGATGGAAATGTTAAGAGAATGAGCAAATCTAGATTGACGTGGACTAGTGTAGTAAGTGGAGATATGAATCTCCTTAATTTAACTAACGAAGTGGCTTTGGATAGAATCGAATGGAGAATAAGAATTTATGTAACCAATTCTATTTAATAAGACTTAAGGCTTGGTTTGGTTTAGTTTAGTTTAATTTCATCAACTAACTAGCGATACTAGGATAAGTGTGATGAAAATTTAAATAAAAGAGAGCTCGGTATAATTATGATAGAACTCTAAAATTACTTATAATATATCATCAAATCTTTTCCCTTTTCCAAAAAAAAAATAAAATAAAATAAAAATGATCATCAAATCTTTTGTATAAATCCCATGATTAAAAATATAAAATCATATTAATATTTTTTTTTTATGTGTGATTTTACATGTAACATTAAATAGGAAACATTAAACAAAATATTAAATTACATTCTAAAAAAATGTTGATACTATATGATGGCATGGACCATGGATGGCTGCATCAATGTGAATTAATTCATTAATAATATACTCCGTTGCAAAAATGAATAAATAATGTTATATACATTAATAACAAATATATAAATAAACAAATCAATCAAGAGTCAAATCTTAAATATGGGTTCCAATCCACATAATATATGTTATATTTGAGTTAATATATTTATTGGTGATTTTAATATTGTTAAAAGAGAAACAAGGTTGCGTTTGGTGGCCGGTTAAATGATTCATATTACTAATGAAATGATCTAGATAGAATGTTAAATTGGCGTGTTCCTAAGGGAAGCTAAGATTAGGGTTATGTAGGTTAGTTATTGTGCCATTTTGACTTTTTGTTTGATCTCTTTATTAGGGTTATGTAGGTTAGTTATTGTTCCATTTTGACTTTCTGCTTGATCTCTTTATTATTAGGATTGGGAGATTAGGCTGGGAATATTGACAAAGGAGGACAAAGGAGTGGATCCTGAGAGCTATTTATTACAAAAATAAATAAATAAATAAATAAAATTAAAAAAAGGTAAACTACACCTTTTCCTTATATTTGATCATTTAATTAAAAAAAAAATTTTAGGGTTATGTAGGTTAGTTATTGTGCCATTTTGACTTTTTGTTTGATCTCTTTATTAGGGTTATGTAGGTTAGTTATTGTTCCATTTTGACTTTCTGCTTGATCTCTTTATTATTAGGATTGGGAGATTAGGCTGGGAATATTGACAAAGGAGGACAAAGGAGTGGATCCTGAGAGCTATTTATTACAAAAATAAATAAATAAATAAATAAAATTAAAAAAGGTAAACTACACCTTTTCCTTTATATTTGATCATTTAATTAAAAAAAAAATTTGTTTTAACTTTTCATATTTTAAATTTTTTTCATTTACTCTTAAAACTAATATCTGTTAAAAATTAAACAAAAAATTATCATAATAACAATCTCTTAATATAAAAATATTTTATTATATATAATCACACATCTGACATAAATTTAAACTCTAATATAATAATATATTTTTTATGTTATGTGATAGTTATTGTGACATTTTTTATCTAATTTTTAACCAAAATTAACTTTAAATAAAGTGAGAAAAACTTGAAATGTGAAAAGCCAAAGTGGAAAAAAACAAACTTTAAATTAAAGTGAAAGTAGATCAAACATAAAAAAGACAAAGTAGAATTTATCCTTACAAAAAAATTAAAATTAAAATTTATTACAATCTTATTTGCAAAGTAACTGTATAGTTTACATTTAAAATTAGTTAAATATAGATCACACTTATAATAAATGTAGATTATTGATTCTTTTATTTTAATGTATGTAGTATTGTTCTAGTTATTATAACAACAATCTTAGGCCCCGTTTGTTTTGGGAGATAGAATAGAGGGGATTAATAGTGAGGGGATTAATAGTGAGGAATTGTTAAATTATTTTTATACAAAATAATAAAACAAATAAAAAAATATAAAAAAATAAACATTATATTTTAAAAAAAATTCCCAATATAAAAAAAAATTAAAAAAAATTTAATCCCCTCACTATTTTTCTAATACTATCTCTACCTCCTCCTTACCAATCCCCCTTCCTCCTCCTTACTAATACCAAGGGATTACTAATCCCCTCTATATCTCTCAAAACAAACACTCCATTCTCAATCCCCTCCTCACTATCAAACCTAATCCCCTCCCCATAACCCCAAACAAACGGGGCCTTAGGTACAAAAAAAATATTCTCCTAAACATTTTATAAAATCATTTTGTAGCCTAAATTCATTTTGTTTGTAAATCTTATAATATATGAGTTAAATTTGAATTGAGTAAATTATATTTTATCCATTTATGTTTGGCCACTTTCTTATTTTAATTTTTAAAACTTATTTTTTTCTACTTTGGCCTTTTATGGTACAAGTTTTTCTCAATTTATTCCTAAAATTAATTTCTGTTAAAAATTAGATAAAAATTAATATATTAACAATCACGTTGTATGAAAATATTTTATTTTATATAACTCACATTGCTTACATAAACTTAAACCCTAATATAATCATATATTTTTATATTACGTGATAGTTATTATGATATTTTATTTTTAATTTTAAACAAAAATTAGCTTTAAGAGGAAATTGAGAAAATTTTAAAACATAAAAAGCTAAACTGAAAAAAAAAAAATAATTTTAAGAATCAAAATAAAAAATGACTAAACACAAAAGGAGCAAATCATAATTTATTATTTACCCCATTTGAATCATATATGCATAAATTATACTACATTTTTTTTATATGTTATTATAATAGGCATACCGTTTCTTTGATTTTCATTGGTCAAAAACCGCTGATTGCGCGAGCCGCCATTGATTTCTCGTTTCCTGTTTTCCTTTCTTTCCATTTTTTTTCTTTTCATAATTTTCCACAAAACTGGCTGCCGTACAAATCTTTAAATTCCCTCCAAACAAAATGTGCCCAAAAATAATTTAAAGGGATTGACTAATAAGTTTCATATTGGAAAATGTTTCGTAACTCGAAACATTTTATTCCGAATGGCTCGAGTGAGAAGACGCAGAGAGAAGTAAAAGGAGAGAAAGAGAGAAGCAGAGGGAGAGGGAGAGAAAGAGAGAAGTAGAGGGGAAGAGAGAGAGAAGACGATCGTCGCCCCGGCCAGCCGCCGATCGTCGGCCCTCCCAGCTGCCTTTCTGCCGATCGTCTATGCCTCCTCCAGTCCTCCTCCTCCTCCCTCCTTCCTCCTCCTCCCCCTCCTCCTCCTCCTCCTCCTTTCTTCCTTCTTCTTCCTGGTCTTCGTTCTTCTTTTGCAAAAAAAAAAAAATCGAGCCATTCGGGCTCCCTGTTTTCGAGCTACGTAGCACGATCGTTTCATATTTTAGACTTGTGATTTATATAATTCTATATTTTTATGTGTGATCTACTTAATTTTTCTAAATGTATAATGACTCATCTGTCTGTCACATTGAAGTGTTACATTTGAGGGATTATATTGGAGTGTTAAGTTTGAAAAAAATACACTATGAAGTTTTTTATTGTGTTACATTTTTTGAGTGTTATGGTATTGAAATGTTACGTTTGAAAAAAATACATTGAGGACTCTTTTAGTGTTGGAGTGTTATGTCTATAAAAAGTATACCAATGAATTTTTTAATGTGTTACTTTAGAGGAGTTTTTTAGTGTTACGTTTGAAAAAAGTATACTAATTTTTTGTTTTTAATATTAAGTTTGAGTGTTACATTGGAGTGACAGAAACGTGATCCAAAATTTGAATCCAACTTTCCTAGATAGCATCCTCCAATGAATAAGGGTAAAAATGTCTACCAAATCATATCAAAATTTAAAATAGGGTCTCACGGTAAAGTTATTAAAACAAATAAGATCTATCATTGTATTAAAAAAATTCATGAAACTGATTAGAATAACTGATTCCTATATGGAATTTTTTTGATAATTTTTTCAAAAAATTAAAATGTCACGCCTCACAGTTTGGACAATTAAATATTAAATTATGACTAAATCTCAATCAACATTCCATCATCCAAATCCTAGGGGTGAAACAAAATCTAAACGTTCTCGTCTCCATAAGGTTTAAATAAATTCTCATGCTTAAAAGATAACAAGGGATTTAAAAAAAACTAACAAAACACCAAGCAAACCATCCACCGTAATTTCATAACTAACAAATACCTCCAACATTAAAGTAGCAACAACTAGTCAAAACAACTTAAATAATGTAACGTTAAAAAACAACCAGCAATGCAAAATTGTCAAAAATACTAAGGTCATAAAAAAATAATAAATACATAAACTAATATCAATCCTAAGCTCAACAAAATCAAAAGAAGTCCAAAAGACATATCCAATAACTACAGTTATTGCACGTCACCACCGTACGCTATAAGAAAATGCACTTTTGGCAACTAAAGTTTTAGTCACCAAAAGTAAGGTTTTTAGTCGCCGAAGTCTTTTCCCGACTAAATATTTTGGTTGCTAGATTTGTCGCGGGAAAACGGTCGAGGAAGGTTTTGGCGACTAAAAAAAATTTAGTCGCCAAAAGTCCTATAAATGGCTACTAATGTTTTAGTAGGGAAAAGTACGAGGTATTGGCGACTAAATATTTTTTAGTAGCCAAAAGTCATAAATTGGCGACTAAATATTTAGTCGCCAAAAGTTTTCAAATAAAATTAAATTTCATTTTCAGCGACTAAAACTTTTAGTCGCCCAAAATATCATTTATTATTAGCTACAAAATATTTAGTCGCCAAAAAAAATTAATTTTCATATATTTTTTTAGCTACTAAACTATTTAGTCTTCTAAAGTCTCGTATATTTTTTACTACTAAATTTTTAGTTGTCAAAAAATCTTTGGTTTGTTTTTGGCTACTAAATTTTTAGTAGCCAACAAGTTTCATTTTGTTTTTTTTGGCTACTAAACATTTAGTCACCAAAAACTTTATTTAGTGTTATTTTTTTTTATTATTATTAATTTCTGCACAACCTGCATTTATTTCGTGCAACCTGCACCCTGTATATAAACAAAACAATACATATGTCTATTTCTATTTCACTTTCAACCATCCAAAAATTTGGTCTTGTAACATCAAATTCTATACAAACCAAATATAATCCAACCCAAAATAATAATTCCATACAAATAGATAATCATACAAAAATGATGTCCTCTGTATACAAAAAAGAAATATCCACTAGTAATCTATACCACCAGAAAATAACTTCATCTCTGTTGGATCAATAACTATTCCAGTAATTGGTAGTAGAAAAGCTCGAGTTTGTAAAAGTCTTCCAGTAACAAAGTCCCTTACCTACAATACGAAAATAAGTCATTTCGAGAAACAAAAATACTCATGCTAGGAAGATATTATTATGAAACATTTAACATAATTAAGTAACCTTGCATGTGCCATCGAGGGAGCTTAATAAAAAAATTGAACTTGAGCTTGATAAAACATTTAACAAAAATACTCATGCTAGGAAGATATTATAAAGAGTTTTTTCTTTGTCAATACTTGGACTGGACTTTTTCATTAATATAATCATGAAATTTAGCTAACCAGTTGTTTTAGACCATCGCATCATGTTTTGGATGAGAAGAAAGAAGAAAATCAACCAGAACATGAGGGGGAAAAAACAACAAGAACATGAAACATTTGTTATCGATTTCAACACATTTTTCACAGTTGTCCCCATAATTTTTATAAATATCATTAACACATCATTTTGGATATATTTGACATGCACCGAGAAAATTAATCCAGACAGACACTAGAATTAGATATTCGACATGCACTGAGAAAATTTGCAAGCATTAACACAATATTCACATAATGAGAAGATGAACTGACATATTTTCTCTCATTTATCACTAACATTTATATGATCCTAGCATTCCTTGTTTTGTATTGGCATTTGTGACCATGCAATATTACAAGTTGCATTTTCTCAACCTACGGGTCCGAATAACATTCCGTCAGTTGTCACAAGTCATATTTGGCATGGGGAAGCTGTTTGTGTTGGCCACAATGCAAATCAAGGGCTGTTTTGAATTTTCGCCGCGAAACGCCGTTTTTCGACTAAGTTTTGGGCGTATTCATCTCTAAATCCCAACCTACGGGTCCGAATAACATTCCGTCATTTGTCACAAGTCCTATTTGGCATAGGGAAGGTGTTCGTGTCGGCCACACGGCGGTTCGGGGGTTGTTTTCAATTTTCGCCCCCAAAACGTCCTTTTCTCAACTAAGTTTTGGGCGTATTCGGCTCTAAATCCCAACATATGGGTCCAAATAACATTCTGTCAGTTGTATCAAGTCATATTTGGCATGGGGAAGCTGTTCGTGTCGGCCACACGACGGATCAAGGGCTGTTTTGAATTTTCACCCCTGAAACGCCGTTTTTCGACTAAGTTTTGGACGTATTCGTCTCTAAATCCCAACCTACGGGTCCGAATAACATTCCGTCATTTGTTACAAGTCCAATTTGGCATAGGGAAGGTGTTCGTGTTGGCCACACGGCGGTTCGGGGGTAGTTTTCAATTTTCGCCCCCGAAACGCCATTTTTCAATTAAGTTTTTGGCGTATTTGGCTCTAAATCCCAACATATGGGTCTAAATAACATTCCGTTAGTTGTAACAAGTCATATTTGGCATAGGGAGGCTGTTCATGTCGGCCACACGGCAGATCAAGGGCTGTTTTGAATTTTCACCCCCGAAACGCCGTTTTTCGACTAAGTTTTGGGCGTATTCGTCTCTAAATCCCAACCTACGAGTCCGAATAATATTCTGTCATTTTTCAAAAGTCCTATTTGGCATGGGGAAGGTGTTCATGTCGGCCACACGACGGTTCGGGGGCTGTTTTGAATTTTCACCCCCGAAACACCCTTTTTCAACTAAGTTTTGGACATATTCGGCTCTAAATCCCAACATATGGATCCAAATAACATTCCGTCAGTTGTAACAAGTCATATTTGGCATGGGGAAGCTGTTCGTGTTGGCCACATGGCGGATCAAGGGCTGTTTTGAATTTTCACCCCCAAAACGCCGTTTTTTGACTAAGTTTTGGGCGTATTCGTCTCTAAATCCCAACCTACGGGTTCGAATAACATTCCGTCATTTGTCACAAGTCCTATTTGGCATGGGGAAGGTGTTCGTGTCGGCCACACGACGGTTCGAGGGCTGTTTTCAATTTTCGCCCCCGAAACGCCCTTTTTCAACTAAGTTTTGGACGTATTCAGCTCTAAATCCCAACATACGGGTCCAAATAACATTCCGTCAGTTGTAACAATTCATATTTGGCATGGGGAAGCTGTTCGTGTCGGGCACACGACGAATCAAGGGCTTTTCTGAATTTTCACACCTCGAAACGCCGTTTTTCGACTAAGTTTTGGGCGTATTCGTCTCTAAATCCCAACCTACAAGTCCGAATAACATTCCGTCATTTGTCACATGTCCTATTTGGCATGGGGAAGGTGTTCGTGTTGGCCACACGGCGGTTCGGATGAAGTTTTCAATTTTCGCCCCTGAAATGCCCTTTTTCAACTAAGTTTTGAGCGTATTCGGTTCTAAATCCCAACATATGGGTCCAAATAACATTCCGTCATTTGTCACAAGTCCTATTTGGCATGGGGAAGGTGTTCGTGTCGGCCACACGGCGGTTCGGGGGCTATTTTCAATTTTCACCCCCGAAACGCCCTTTTTCAACTAAGTTTTGGGCGTATTCAGCTCTAAATCCCAACATATGGGTCTAAATAACATTCTATTAGTTGTAACAAGTCATATTTGGCATGGAGAAGCTGTTCATGTCGGCCACACGGCGGATCAAGGGCTGTTTTGAATTTTCACCCCCGAAACGCCCTTTTTCGACTAAGTTTTGGACATATTCGTCTCTAAATCCCAACCTACGAATCCGAATAACATTTCGTCATTTGTCACAAGTCCTATTCGGCATGGAGAAGGTGTTCGTGTCGGCCACACGACGGTTCGGGGGCTGTTTTCAATTTTCGCCCCCGAAACGTCCTTTTTCAACTAAGTTTTGGGCGTATTCGGCTCTAAATCCCAACATATGGGTCCAAATAACATTCCGTCATTTGTCACAAGTCCTATTTGGCATGGAGAAGGTTTTTGTGTCGACCACACGGCGGATCAAGGGCTGTTTTGAATTTTCACCCCCGAAACGCCCTTTTTCGACTACACAAATCCAATTTATTATCCTTTTAAGGCAGCAACTAAAAGGTATAATTGGAAAAATATAAAGAAGAAGAAAACTAAATCTATCAATTGAAATAAAAATAACAATAAAAAAAGAAACATAATATCATTCATGGCTAAATAAATTAGAGCCTAACAAACAATTTGAACAATGGCATGATGGGGCATGATGGGGTTGTCAATCGAAAGAAAAATGTTGATTCAATCGATGTCATAGCCTCCTCTGCAGTTTGCACATATTCCAAGAACTTCAGTCCTAAGATCATTCTATTAACAATGACAATAGACAAAGCACATGCAAATATAGTTACAAAAGCCAGGATTTCCTGAAATCAATCCATGTAGAGTGACACCTTATAATAAGAAATAAGACCTATGATATTGTGGGACACTAACTGAAATTGAATTGTTATGAATTAACAAGGGCAGCAAGTAACAGTATGAGCACAAGTTGAATAAGAGATAAAACTAGATTTAGACAAAATAGAAATATCATACCATACCCATGATCATAACCCTTCTAAATTCTAAGTTTGACTAGTACCAAATGAAACATTTTAGTAAACCATAAATTGTTGTGCTATGAAGTACCTAAACTTAGTTGAGAATTAATTGTTGTGCTATGAAGTACCATTTTAGTAAACATTTTATTAAAACATTTATGTCTTAATCATTTGCAAGTTGCAACGAGCATAATGGGGGGAACTTCCTAAACTCTATATACAGTGGCAGGATAGGGAATTAATTCAGTCTATCCATTACAATGAAATGAGTAACAGTGGTAAAAAGAAAAAAGCAAAGAAGAGTAATATACTAACCACCACAGGTTCCCTTGGATCAATAAATTCTATAGAGGTAGGACCCATTGGTGACCGAATCTCCCATGTTATGGTAGGCTGCCATCAATAAAAGCATAGCAACAATAGTTATTCATAAGCACATAAAAAGGCAAGAAACCAAAATAGCTTCCAACGGAACATCCACTTTTTAATGACCCAAAAAGCTCATATAAAATGCAGACACTAGATGTGTCAGGCTCCCAACATTGCTCACAGACTACCTCCTCGCAAGCTTCCCATAATCCCCTTGGAAAGCAAATTCTTTGGAGATTAAGGAAGAAAGAAGAAATGTATACATATGCACACACATACAGAGAGAGAGAGAGAGAGAGAGAGAGAGAGAGAGAGAGAGAGAGAGCATTGACTAAGTTGCTAGGATGCATATATTCCAAGATAACAAATAGCTTTGGCTAGATTCTTTGAGTAACACTTATATTAACTATTCATGCATTTCTTTTCTTGTAACTCTTATGTGGTAAATATATAGGAGAAGAGACATATACAATCAAATGTTAACAACCACATTCCAACTATTCTCAAATGAACTTGTTATAAACAGGCTACAATTGATATTAAAGAAAGTTCTCCACACAGATAAACGTTATCCCTATAAATCAATGGCCACATTTTCAGAGTTATGCATTAGCTCTGCCAAAATACTAATTTTACCAATGTCTTTATATAGTGTATCATAAAATAAGGAGCACCAAGGGGCTACAACCCATATACAAAATTCCATAAGACCTATCTCATCTATACATTCAAATTACTCAAACTCTTCAACAAAATCCAAAAATCAGTTCAAGGATGGATCAAATTTCCTTGAGAACCAACTATACAAAAATGATAATAATCCACTTTTCACTCTAAAAATAGGAACTTCCTTCCCATCAAAGGTCCTCCTCTTGCATTCTTCATCCATATCAAGACAATTTTTATTGTTAGTTTTTTAACACTAATGTTGTTAGTCAAACAACATGCATAATGTAATAACTCACCAGCGAATCCCTTGATGCTTCATACATGAGCAGCCTCCCTAACTCAGCCATGGCATTTTCTTTAATAAATATGATAACAAATAACGTTAATGTATTAATAAGGAAAAAAAATTAAAATTTGTAAGTGGTAACAAATCATGGGAAGCAATACAATTTTTTTGGAAAATGAAAACCTTAAAAGAGCAAGACTGTATTTTGGAAACATAATCTAAAAAGGGACACGAAGAAGTAGTTCTTTAAAACTTTACCAAATACAATCAAGATAGATAAAATAAATTTGCATATTCTAATACAAAGGAATTTAAAGACTTCTAGTTCTTGAAAGAGTAGATATTCTCAAGAACGACCGCAACGGAAATGAGTTTGCACTAATGGCATCTCAAGTCATTAAAAAATTAAAAACATAAACTTCGAGAGATAATTTAGAATGAGTTAATTAGACTGAAATCTCAAATCTTCAAGGTTTTCCACGATACAATTTCATGTGTCCTACATAACAATAAGCATAAGACCTTAAAGAGCTAAGAGTTCATTAAGAAATGTTTCGTATTTATTTTCTATGCAATTGATGTGCGGATACTTATTGATTAATTGATCATATCTTGATAAGGCAACTTAAATAATAATTAGCTTAAAATTTGCCAACCATCTTTAGGAGTTTGACCAATTCACCTCATTTATGCACAAACTTGTCAATCTCCACTATTCCAAATTCATCTAAATCATCACCATCAGGAATTTGAGGAGAATGGTCATATCCACATTGTCATATTAGAAATGTCTAAGGTAGAGCAGATAACTAGGATCGCATAGGTGAATTCAGAAGCCCTAATGCTTGTTTGAAACAAAGATACTTCTCTTGATAAGGCAACTTAAATAATAATTAGCTTAAAATTTGCCAACCATCTTTAGGAGTTTGACCAATTTACCTCATTTATGCACAAACTTGTCAATCTCCACTATTCCAAATTCATCTAAATCATCACCATCAGGAATTTGAGAAGAATGGTCATATCCACATTGTCATATTAGAAATGTCTAAGGTAGAGCAGATAACTAGGATCGCATAGGTGAATTCAGAAGCCCTAATGCTTGTTTGAAACAAAGATACTTCAATTTCAATTGTGTAACATGTGCAACATGTTAAATGTTCAGCGCAATACCAATTGACTAATGCTATCGCTTTTGTTAATGGGCATCCTATTTCAATACAGTCACTCAAAAAGACAGTAGTTTTTTTATTTTCAAAACTCACCAAATAGCATTTTGAGCTCCAAGAATGATAGACCTAAACCTTCAACTGATGGTCTTGAAGTGCACATTTTGTTCATCTAATGAAATTAAAATGAACCAAGCAATACATACCAAAACAAAATTAAAAATTTAATGTAATAAACTTGGATTCAAATGTCCAGAGTATATTAAGGGAGCCATAATTTTGAGTGACCAATCAACTTTCTATGACAATAGACTATTATACACGTGTATAGATAAGTATAAAATAGATGGGTGTGTTACATAGAAGAGGAAACACATGAGATTTCCCAAACCAGCACAATGAATATAGTTCCTGAATTTGGGATTTCCTAATCCCCAATCATGTCCCAAATTCTTGCTCAATCCAACTTGAATTTGGGATTTCTGTGTAAAAATCAACACAAACCCTATACCAAGTGTGGGAAATTAACACAACATTAACTCAAATTCAACACAAAATTAAACAACAAAAATCATATAAAACCCTAGGGCAAGTGTGAAATGGGGAAATAGAGGAAGGAAGATAGATAGAGAGAGAGAGAGAGAGAGAGATGCACAGAGAGAGAGAGAGAGAGAGAGAGCTCCATCGACAGATAGAGATAGAGACTGAGAACGACAGAGAGAGAGAGAGACTGAGAGCGATAGAGCGAGAGAAACATACCTGTGATTAAGTGGCGCTGGTGCTTTGCAGGTGGCGGTGGTGATGTGCGACGGTCTCTCTCGCCGGTGGCCAACGACGGTGGTGAGCGAGGTGAGGCTTGGTTGTGTTGAAAGAGAGGGAAATTTGTTTGAGACAGTGTATACCGCGTGTGTGTGAGAGACAAACATATCGGGCGCCAAATTATATTGGGTTCTCTCTAAAAAAAAAAAAAAAAAAATTGAACTTTTAGCGACTATTTCAGATTTTTGGGAACCTTCATTTTTAGCTAAAAAGTCAAAAAGTTACTAAATTAGCCAAAAAGCCAACAACCCATACCAAAAAGTCAAATATTTTCTTTTCTCTCTACTTTTGGCACATCTTTTCGTAAAAAGTCAAAAAGTCATCCCAAACATACTAGTTTTTTTTAACTCATATTTTAGCCAAATAGCCAAAAAGTTACTAAATTAGCCTCTTCCCAAACGAGGCAAACACCAAATCAGCTTGTTCAGCGACTAAACTTAGAATTAGTAGCGTAAAATATTAACTTTTGGCAACTAATTATTTTTTAGTCGCCTATAACTATATGTTTCGCGACTAATTTTCTTTTTAGTCGCCTATAATTACATGTTTCGCGACTAATTTTTTTTTTTTTAGTCACCAAAAAACAATGTATGTCGACTAGATGAAAATGGTAGCCAAAATTTGAACCTTTGGCGACTAAAAAAAAAATAGTCGCCAAAAGGACCATTTTTGGCGACTAAAATTGTTTTAGTCACCAATTTTGATCGCCAAATATGTAAATTCTTGTAGTGGTAGCCCCAACTAATCCTGTAAAGAAAGCTCGACTGCGCTCAAACAGAACGCATCTAAGTTGCCAAGAAACAAAACAGGTCAGTATACAGGTATACTGGTATGAGTACAAGATTTAACATCCATGTGTCCACCAGACACAAACAAAAATACATTTAATTCTTGTTACAAGATAAGACAAGTAGTTTTATCCACACCAAGACAAATGGGTAGTTTCCCGAGAAACAGTGTGTGATAACCCTGCTCCGTATTATGCTAATTAATCTTAATTACGAATGTGATTATGTGTTTGATATGATTTTGAGTGCCATTTATATGAATATATGTAGTTTTGAATTTTTATCTGTTCACCGTAGGAAAATCTGTTTGATTATCTGCTTTAGAATTTAAATTGAAGGTCTTATCGGCCACAGAAACCGAATTGACTACGCCATTGTGATTGGCGTAATTTTTAGAGCCTACGGTGAAATTTAATTGAATATTGATTCAGATCAAATTAAATAGATTAAATTGATGAAATAGTGCTCAATTAATTAGTGTTAATGGAATGTGATTAAGAGAGCCTATAAAAAGGCTCATTTTCACTCAATTTCCCTCTTTTATTCAATTTGGCTGAGAATACTCTAAGGAAAGGGAGAGAGGGTCCGCTAGAGAGAGAGGAGGGAAAGCCATTGAAGATTTGAGCAAGAAACTTGAGTAATTTGAAGACCAACTCAAGAATTAACCATAATTTGGGAGAGTTGAGCTCCTAGGTGAGTAATTGGTTATGAATTCATAAGTTTAATATTGTAATTTTGTGAATTCAAGGCTTGATGGTGATCAAGAACATAATTTGAATTGAATTTGTTGAATTTGAAGCTTATATGTGCATGCATGTGCATAATTGCCACGGTTATACACATTCAAGCATGAGGCGTGTTGAATATGGAGAATTGAGCACCAAACTTTACATGTATGAGTAATTTTATGTAGCTTCATGATTTTGAACACCATTTGCACCATTTGAAATGGAATCAAGTTAGGATTGTACATGCATGCAAGATTCATGTAAGTAAAGAGCTTGATTGTTTGAATCTTGAAGAATTTGAAATGGTTTGAGAAATGAACCATGACTTTAGTCAATTGGCTCCCAATTAATCATGTCCTTATGTTAGGTGATGTCCCTCCATGTTTCTGTATTACAAATCATGAGTTTAAGGCCTTTGAATGTTGAATTTGAGCCTCAAGAACAGTTTTGGAAAACCCAGAATTCGGCATGTCCGCTCGAGCGAGGAAAGCGCCGCTCGAGCGTGAAATACAAGCTCCCAGCAGTTTTGCAATCAGTGATGTTCGCTCGAACGGGGAGCCATGTAGTGTGACCTTCAGCTCGAGCGTCCGAATTTACGCTCGAGCTTAAAAATAAGGTAGCCAGTATTTTTGCAGACCGTGAGGGTCCGCTCGAGCGTCGAAACCCATGCTCGAGCGGGGACCCCTGTTTCAGAAATTTTGTAAAGGTGTTATGTGTTTCATTTTCCGTTCTCTTTCACTTCTAAGTACTCTTAGGCATGCATTGAGCATTATGAATGAATTAAAAGGATAAGAAAAAAGCCTAAGAGGAATGTATGAATTAAGAACGGATTGAATCGTTTGTGACCCATATGTGTTATGTAATGTGTAGGGTCGAGTTCAATGGTGAATCCACCGACAGAACACTGTGAGTAATATCTTAATAAAGATATTTTGAAGTATGTTATTTGTCCAATTGCTTATTTCCCTATAAGTCTTATAAGTTTGTTAATTTGAATTGTGGACAAATGTTTGCTATGCCATATGGTTGGGCCAAAGGCCGTCTGACATGAATGAAAGAATGATTGGGCCAAAGGCCGTCTGACATGAATGAAAGAATGAATAGGTCGAAGGTCGTTTAACATGAATGAATGGGCCGAAGGCCGTTTGACAGAAATGATTGGGCCAAAGGCCGTTTGACACAAATGAATGGGCCAAAGGCCGTTTTGATATAAATGAATAGGCCGAAGGCCGTTTTGACAAGAACGAATGGGCCAAAGGCCGTTTTGACAAGAATGAACGAGCCGAAGGCCGTTTCGACATAAATGAATGGGCCGAAGGCCGTTTTGATGTAGATGGAAATCAGAATGGGCCAGAGGCCAATATGTTTAGAACTACAGTCACTTGATCTAAACTTTGTATAAATGTACATATGTTAAGTAGGAATATGAAGTGGGCCCAAGGCCGTTTGGAGTACATTGTTCTACATATTGTTTATATGACTTCTGTATTTGATATTATTCACTGGGCTATCGCTCACGCTCATTCATGT